ATTTCATTCAATGTACGGCCAAATTTTTTTTATAAGATATTCAAAACAAATGAATGTGTGGTCATGAAACATATCTGATATTAAGTTTAGTCTGCATACATTTTACAGTGCAACCAATCAGCATGTAGACAAAATGGAGAATTTTAAGAAGATTGGTAAAACTTGATTTGAAAAGACAAACTGTGGATGGAAAAAAATCTGGCCTCTTTTTGCACTTTTGTATAAACAAGAGATGCACATAATTTGATTTATTCCATGCATGACCCAGAAAACCCTTGCACCAACATCTTTCTTCACAAATGTCATCTGGTTACAGGTTTGTATTGTGATAAATGCATTTTTTTACATCTATTTTTTAAGATGCAAACTTTGGATACTTAGACAGCATTTTTTCCAAAAGATTTGTATATGCCAAGTCTAAGACAGAGATACAAATAAAAACTTATGTTAATGTTTTTTTTCAGTTAATATACTCTGAGAAAATGGTACAAGAATTTTATTCATGTACCATTTGGTAGTGTAAATTAAATACAAGGCAGTTTGTAAATTAAATTTCTGAGAAATTTATTAGTCAATGCCAATAATGACATTATCTATTCACTCCAGCTGAAACTTTTAAAAGAATGTGCATACGTTTTTATCACTGATTTATATTTAGTATTTGTTTTCTTTTCTATTCTGATTATAGTCACACATTACATAATAATGAATGACACTGAATGTAGTCACGAGAACAAACACATCATGGGCATGGCGACAACCGTGAACAAGTGTTGCTATAAATACTACTTACAGAGTTGCTGCGTTTTGTATATTTTTATTGTCTTAGCGATAAATATCCGCAAAAGTGACGCGACGAACAATAACATGTTCAAGGTGTTGCGTGATCACTGATTTTGCAGAAATAAAACGTGGATCACAAAGTGGCGTCTGTGGTTTCCTTGACAATGTCAATTTATCGACTTGTGATGTCAATGATATTACATTACGTTGACAATATGTCATGAATGTAAAGACTTGTAAACAACAAAAATGGTATTTCTGACCGAACATTTTGGGTAAATTATATTCTGTGACTGATAGATGATACCAGCGAAAGAATAATTCGCACTTACCTCGGAAATAACATCGTGAAGAAATCGGAATGGTGGCTTCTTCAAAAGCTTCTCTGTCAGCGGAGGTTTTTTAATAATTTTTCCTAAAGTGTCCTGAGTTTTCTTGATGTAAGGCTCCCCCATGGTATTACTGATACTCACGTATTTCTCAAAATATTCAACAAGTTTCAAAAACGATAATATTATTCCCTGTAAATGAGCAACAACATCATTCAAACGTCTGTGTTATTTTTACGGTAGGACGGAATTTATATCCCATAATGCATCAGCACCTCGTTCTTGTGCAACATAAAACAAGCAAAATCGCACACTATAATTGCAATCTCTAACTAAAATTTGAGTAATATGACGATAAAGTGTGAAAAAGAATTCTTATAAATTAGTATATACAATAAATGACACACAGTCTGACTTTAATAGCGTTTAAACCGTTCTCAACGCAAGAACTGAATTACGCATGCGTAATTTAATCTGTTGGTTGTAACCTTTGAACTCATATTTTACCGGTAACTCGTACCTTGTCCCGCAATGCGCTGAAATACTAACTTTTTGTTTACGCAAGGAGTTTATCACAAATAAGTCTGGTTCAGTGCAATGAGTCGATAATAGCATAGACCTTAATAAGGTATTAGAACTTAAAAATACTTTCAAGGTATGATCATAGTAAGCGTGGTGATATATACGCGATAATAAGATACATTAGGGAAATCTATCACTGGAACTCGAATCGGGACGGTGACAGGATAGGGTTGAGGGGTGTGGGTATTTGGTTAATCCACCGTCCCGCAACACGAGGAACGGTGGTTAATCACTAGAAAATACGATGGTGAGAAAACTTTACAAATTCAAATTATTATTTTTTTCACTTTAAGTTTTGAGTTTTCGGGAATAGACGATGTTTCACAGTTGTTCAAGTTGGGTCATGAACGTTCACCCAAACACACTAAGAAGGCGCAAATGACGTGCAAGATAGTTTTCTGGAATTTGAGAAGGAACTTGTACATGTTCGCTGCATGTTGCATTCTGGGATATAAATTAAAAAATAAAGTTTAATCAATCTTATATTCTAGTAAGTAATGCATAGGTTGGATATGTTACGTAATACACTAAAATGACACTATGTTACTATTCCAGTAATGTTATAAACTTGAGGCATATCAAAAACGAGGGAAACATGTCGTTTTGATATAACCATGAATACGTTAACTTTGTTATTTACGGAATCAATTTAATATGATATTACAAAATAATGTTGCTATTATTATGAATGTTAAGTTAAGTAAAATGTATGTTACCATAAAAATAAACGGTCTGACGAAAAACGTCATACTCTAGTATAAATATGACTAATGTTCAAAGTCATATTTTGGTTATCCATCACTGTATCATCGAATATGATAAATGCGTGTTAGAAAAATTAACTTTATTTAAAGTGCTTCGATTGGATGCGAAATGTTCGTGGTGAAATGTACACTACCCTACAAATATAATATTTAGCAAATGTAGAGTCTAAAAAAATATTACCATAGAGTAAGTACTGGGGTACGTTCGATTGGATGC